AAATATAAAGTACAAATATTTTATGGATTACACTGAAATAAACGTAGCTGATTATAAGAAAGACCTTGGTGTGTATGTTGATGCTTCCATGTCCCACTCTCGCCAGTGTGGGGAAGCAATAAAAAAGGCCAATAGGATGTTGGGTTACATCTCTAGGTGTGTGGAGTTTAAGTCAAGGGAGGTGATGCTACGATTATATTATTCTTTAGTAAGACCCCACCTTGAATATTGTGTGCAGGTTTGGTCTCCATACCTTAAGGACATTGCTGCCTTGGAAAGGGTGCAACGTAGGGCTACCAGAATGATTCCTGGTCTTAGAGGAATGTCTTATGAGGAGTGATTAGCTGAGCTGAATCTGTTTAGCTTCGAGCAAAGGAGACTAAGGGGGGACATGATCCAGGTATGTAAGATTCTAACAGGTCTGGATGCTGTTCAGCCAAATGGCTACTTCAATATTAGTTTATATACTAGAACTCGTGGCCATAAGTGGAAATTAGCGGGAGAACATTTTAAAATGAATTTGAGGAAGCACTTCTTTACACAGCATGTAGATAGATTATAGAATAGTCTTCCTGCTAGTATAGCACAAGTTAAAACCCTGGATTCCTTTAAATCAGAGCTAGATTAGATTTTAACAACTCTGAGCTATTAGTTAAGTTCTATCCAAATGAGCTTTATGGGCCGAATGGCCTCCTCTCATTTGTAAATTTCTTATGTTCTTATGTAATACAGTGTAGACATACACTGGGCATTGAAAGGCAGCTCAAATGCAAATTTTCTGATTTTAATTTGTAAAAAAACGATGATTCATTTTCTTTCCACTTCACAATTATGCACTACTTTGTGTTGGTCTATCACACAAAATCACATTAAAATACATTCAAATTTGTGGTTGTAACGTGAGAAAATGTAGAAAAGTTCAAGAGGTATGACTACTTCTTCACGGCACTGTATTTTCCATCCAGCACCCACATAATTTCAATAGCAAATATCAGGTGCATTGTTGGCTCATGGCTATTTTCAGGTGGCGGAAAGCAGTTACACTTGTAACCAACAAAACCTGCTCTAAAGTCAATGGCATAATATTTCACTGTTATTTAAAGGGTATGTTATCAATATAGCAACATGTGTCTATTAGAGCCCGACCGATTTATCGGCCGATATTAGGCATTTTCCAAACTATCGGTATCGGCATTTATAATGGCCGATAAATGAATATTTCAAAAATAAAATAAAAACGGACGAAACACCCTTCAACCATGTCATGAGTGTTGGCGTTGTATAGTTTGTCCACCAGAAGGGCACTCTACACCGTCCCTGTTGACAACACTCGTGTATAACGCGTCACACTTCCTGCAACCTGCTGATCCAGCCAGAGTCGGGCAGAGAGAACCAGTTATCCGCGAGTGAGATCATCGGTGAAGTGTGTTCATGGTGAGTTGGTCATAAGACATACATTGCTTTAATAACAATTAAAAGAACATCCCCATCAGTTCTCTTAACTCAAATAAGCATGACAAAATTAGTGACTATCATGTCCAGTTTTGCTGCTGTTAAATAAGCCGAGAGTGAAGCGGAATTAGCTAGTAATTATGTTACGTTGTTACAGTGTAGTTGACTGACTGTCCTTTTAACTTTTGACAATGAGACTGAAGTATTTCTTTAATAGCGTGACCGTTATAGCAGTAATTAAGACGTATCATGTCTCCTTGGCCTGTTATATTGAAAATGTATGTTTTACAATTTGCAGTATGA